TACAGAATGCTGAAAATAATTTGACTGCTGCCTTGAATTTAAAGCTGATGAGAAAAGGATGGAGAGCTACTGACAACAAACCACCACACTTCTGATTTGATACCCAAGTCTGCACGTCTTCTTTGTAAACACACTGAAGAGTGAATGTGAGCTTCCATCCTCCTCATTACTCCGAGATTGCTCATCGATTTGAGAGTGCCTGCTGCAAACTCAATTACTCCTTCAGTTCCTTGTTTTTGACAAAGTAAGCTGTTTAGAAAACCTCATTTAGCCTTCCTTCTCTTTAACAGCAGCGGGAACAATAGTGAGGTCTCACTCAGATTACAATGACACAAGGGTTAGCATCATGTCAGTTTGCAATTTGCAATCCTTCCATCCCCAAATTAAATTAGTGCCATCCATCACATTTTGCTACAAAAAAAAAGTAATCAAATTCAGGCTCACTGGAAGAATCAATCGAGCAACTGGTTTTAAAAACCATGTTGAGTGGGAGGAGTTGATTGAACTATTTACTGGTAGCTTTTATAGGAAGCACTTTGAAATATTCATTGGTTTTCCAGCTCAGGGTTCTTGTGGAAGAAGGTAGTCCAAATGCTTATCTACCCGAGACCTTCTCTCTTTCTAGGGGAGAGTTGTTTCCAGGGAAATCTGGTTGCATAACCCCTCTGGTGTCTTTTGGGTGTGGCCCCGGGTCCCCAACCACTTTATATGTCTAAAAGTACCTCCACAATGACACAAGGAATCACGTTTTTTTTGTTTTTTTTTCACATTTTGGTTTTACATGACACTCATGAGAGAGATTACAGATGCTAGGATGTACCCCCTTTAAGACCCAGTCTTAACAGGACACCATTACTTTACTTCGTTCTCTTCAAAGCCACCAAACTTAATTGAAAAATTTGACAAACCATACATACATTAAGGCACTTACTTTGGCTGCAGTGTTTGTGTTATGGTTATTTGAATCACCAGTCACACAACAGTACAAACTATCTGACTTACAGCAGTAGTGGTAGACAAGCAACTCCTCAAAGTTTTAGTTAATAGATCAGATGGCTTAGAAGAGAATGATGTAACAGCTTTAAAAACTTCTTACTCTTTCACAAAAAGTCATCTCTGTTGAAATTATGAAATTATAATAAGCCAAGGCTTTGAATCCTCAAGAATGTTTTCCCCTGGCATTATATATACATAGCAAAACATGTAGAGAGTTTAAGAATGTAAAATGTTGGTTGAAACTCTAAAACTCAAAATTAGCTTATGTGTTAAAAACAAATTATCCACTTTATCCATAACAAATTTCTTCTGGAGTATCAAAAAACATGTACAATAATATATTGATATTCATTATGTGTGTTTTTTAAACAACGTTGAATCAGCCATGTTTGATACTATTATTTTAATGATCCCATTTCAACACCTTTAACAGTTCTTACCAACATAAACTGTAAGCGTTGGTTGCATAAATCAAATGGCTATAAAGCATTTAAACTTGTAAACTAAAGCTGTTGCGACAGCTCTGATTTTTATGAAATGAGTTAAGTTACTGATATTGATCTTTAACTGGGTAGAAGTCTGCCCCCTACTGACCCCAACGTGTCTCAGCACCTCCTGTCTGAATCACAGCGATCGGACCAGAAGACACGTGACAAAAACAGAGTTTAAGGATCAGCAGTCCTCGCTGAATGGGAATCAATAGCAATTGGAGGACTGTTTCTGCTATATATAGCCCGGCAGAGCTATTACAGGGAACCGTGTGCTGCTGCCTGAAACTGTGCGAGGAAGGAGAACGGATGGGAATTGTGTGTGTCTGAGTGTGTGTACCGACACGACACGTGGCTGGTAAGTTACTGAATTTCTTTTCTATTCACGTGACACCAAAAGGCACACACACATAAACTACTTGATACACACATGCGACTGCAGTTGAACACAAATCTCTTGTGTTCAAGACACACACACACACACACACACACACACACACACACACACACACACACACACACACACACACACACACACACACACACACACACACACACACACACACACACACACACACACACACACACACACACACACACACACACACACACACACACACACACACACACACACACACACACACACACTCTATTTTCCCGTTGACTTTGCTTGCAGGCAGTTAGGACACTCCAATAGTAAACAACAGACTCAAGCTGATTTTGCTCGCTCGTTTCACATGCTGTTAGGTGGAAACCCAAGTTCTAATCATCTTATAAAAGCAGTTCCATTAAATATGTATCGCCGTCTTGTCTTTCCACCAAATATTAGAAAATTCTCTATACTGTATCAATACAGAATTTATCATAAACTTATTTTTTATCTAATCGAGCTGATTTGCCTAATCTCCAAATGTGGAGGACTTGAGAACAGCAAAGTGCATTGAGGACTTAATGATTCTTGATTAGTTCCTCTGGCTCTTTAGTACCTGGAACTTATTGATCAAGAAGCGCTGATCACTTAGTGGCTCCTCAGAAGCCGTCTTCCAACCACAGATTCAAGGGTCAGTGACAAACAAGGGTTGTTCAGATGACCAATTCAAAAATCTTTGAAAGCATGCATCAGGTTCATTAAAATGTGAGATTTGTATTAATGTTGGGTTTGTGTTTTTTAAAATGACATTTAAACCTTTTTTTCAAAAATTAAGAATATTGAATATTTCATACATTAGAGTATATATAAGTGTACTCATGATTGTAATTACTTCATTTTAAAATAACATAAGAAAATAGATTTTATTAGGATTATCCCTAAATTTATAAGTTATGCCCTTTTTCAATACTGAGCGGGGCACAAAGCTGAAAACACCTCTGTTTTCTAATTAATTTTTGGCAAATTATGTAAAAATTGTTAAAAAACAAATTCTTACTGATACCTGATCTAGCTGTCTTAGTCAGGATCGGTGCATCCTTAATTAATTCATATCTTAAGTAAATTACAACATCTGACCAAAATCTTCAGGGGGAATTCATTTCTTAAGTATTTGGAATAAACTCAAGGTACTTGTGCCCTAATCAAAGGATAACATACCAACGGGCAACACTTTACATCTCTCCTTCTTTACATCATGGCCATCACAGCCCAAACAGCATTGCCACCTTCTATAGTAGTCTAACAGAAAGGCTTGTTATAAATGTCAAATAGTGTAACCATTTCCACTTCAAATCAAATTTGACAGGCATCATCATTGAGACCTATGTAAGCACATTTCCTGGTGTGAACATTTCAAATCTATTTTTCGAAGTGAATACAATTTTTTATAATTATCATAAATTGTTAATGTTTTTCTGAGGTCATACCATTTGACATACCTGACCACGCCCTTAAAATGTCCAATTATCTCATGTTTTAAAGAGAGTTGCTAAACTTGGCCTGCAGCAGTTAGGACCATCAGGGGTTCTTCTTTGTGATATCATTTCTTGTCACATGATATGATGGATATATAGACAAAATGGCTCCTTCAATGGCGGTTACACCATGTTGACAATTTGGTACTTGACTGGGTGACACGATGTCCCTAAAATAATTTATAATAATAAGAGCAATGATGTTCCATTACTTTTATTTACTATTGAAAAGTTCTATTGTAAGATTATGCCAGGCTAGTTCATAGGGTGTTATATTGAAAATTTAACCTTTTTAAAGCAAGTTTAATTCTTTGGTATGAAGTTTCAACGGTTACACCACTTAGACATTTTTGCCTAAATACCCCAAATATTCTCTAAAAATGTATAATTAATATAAATTTTAGACTAGGTCCTCAAAACAAAGGATGAAAGCATGTCATCTGTGCATTTAAAAAAAAAAATGTAAGCCTTTAAAAGTTAACTAAACCTTATGGACACAAAAAAAATGAGCGTCACGTCATTGACCCTCAAAACAAAAAACTGTCTGAGCATGACTTCTGATCTCAGGGCTACAGCTCTATCTGAAGCTGTCTGTACATTTAAAAAAACCTCATGCCAGGGGGATGCCTCTTTTCAATTTTCACCAGTACTTTTAAAGTACGTTATCGTGCACTTTTACCTCCCTGTGAGTTTTTTTAAAAACAAAGATACATGTAGAGCTATTAAAGAAATACAGATCTTGAAGCTGTCTGCACATTTGGTGACTCATTAGAAAGAAGGCTTTTTTTTGTTGTTGGCTGTGATCCCTTTAAAGTGCCAGCTGGAATGCAGATTATCACTGCTCGATTTTTTGTTATTAAATGAACCTAATAAAAAATACAATAAAAGAAACTCCACACAAGTAAGTTCAAAAGCTTTGCAGCACCCAGGAAGGAAGTACAAAACAGACCCTGATCTATTGTTCCTGCTCGGGCCCTGAAACGAAGGCTTTCTGCTGAACTTCACTGTGTCTGCATCAGAACATCCAACCGACGGAAGGAGGAAATAATCAGAGAGCTGGTTTGAAGTCTGGGAAAGGGGAATGCTGCCTATGACGCAGGGCTCATCATAGAGCGTCCAACATCTATGCACCGCAGCCAAACTGATGGACTTATTTCAGCCGTTACATCACTCTCTAAAAGCCACCAAACAAATACTAAAACATCATTTTTCCTTGCTAAATGTCAGTGTTGCTGATCTGCCTCTTCCTGTATCAGAAATGTTGTTTGTGCTATTTTATGCCATTAATGGCTAAGCACTTGTGAGGGTAAACTAGCATATAACCAATTAAAGGGATCGATGTGTAACCACATGAGCACATGCATGTGGACGTTAATCACAAAGGGGATCAAAGGCTGGCTGTTAGCACTGCTAACCACATCCAGCAAACCGATTATACATTCTTTACCAGCGTATGCTATTATCCTGCTCGATCCGAAGAGATCACACAGCTCGTAACAATAACGACTGCACAACACAGATACAAGGTTTTCTTCCCTTTAGACTCGTGGACTAGTCTGAATTAGAAGTTCCCTTTGATCAACAGAGAAATGAGGCTCGGTGATTACTTACATGTGAAGATGACCAACAGGGTGCGGAGCAAAAGGTCGACGGGCTTCTCCCACCTCTCGGGCACACGGGCCAAAACTGGTGGAATGAGAATCTCAGCTGGTACGTAGAACTGCAGGGCGAAGGTGATGAAGATACCAAAACAGTAGAGCAGCTTCACGGCCTGGTACATCCTGGAAACAAGTGGGTAAGAGGAGAGAATGACAGAGACACATCAATTAAACAGAATAAATGAGAAGGATTCGAGTAGTAAAGTAACAGCCAAATATCCATTAATCATCATATTTGAATCTGTTCAGTGCGCTGAAATGCAGCGAATCAAAAACAGATCATCAAAAACAAAACAAGCATCAACACAAGGCCTTAATTTTCATGTTTAAGATCAATGAGGAAAAATATTACAAGATGAAGAGGAATCAATTTGTTGTCCTTAGTAATTATAGACTGAGAGTTTTCAACATCACTGAACAGACAAGCTATTCTACTAATTAGCGGCATCAGTCCAACCGTTTTAAATGCCAATCTGTCTCCTGCCGCTGTAAAGATCCTAACAAGTAATGAGCGGACACATCCAATCCGAGGGTTTGGTTCTCTACCTTTATTCTCCCTCAAAGTCTAAATGAGCTGAAAATGAGTACACAATGTTCCTGTGCTTTTTTTCCTTCACACAGAATAAAAGATGAATGGTGTTAATCAGGACTGCAGAGAACTAGAGCAGAGGACACGCACCACAGATTTGTCAGTTAAGTTAAGTCTGCTTTGTGAAGTGAAGATTCATTTCCTAACCTACTTTATGTGTGCGTCTGGATTTTTAGATTTCAGATTAGCTCTCTGTCTGCGTGTGCTGAGCCCCAAAGTGAGGACACTTCTTTTCAATAGAAAGTAGTAATATTAGACAGATTCAAAGCTTTTGTTTAATTATAATACAAAATATCTATTTAGAAACCGGGCCCCGATAATCATAAAACTCTGTCTGGGTTTGTGCGTACATGGGAAACATTCTCAGGTCAAGTTTTATACACAAAAGCAGGAAAGCCCATTTATGAGAACTGATGAGTTAACTTTTCGGTCAAAAACTTTGTCTGAAAAAAAATCACCGTTACACATTTATATTTCGTCGTTTGACCAGATAAAGCACCAAAAGTACAACATAAACAGCTGCTTGACTTTTGTTTATTACAATCACACGTATTGGTTTCATCTGTGCATAATTTCTAGAACCTTTGTGATGAAATCCCCCAAGTTGAGCTTTGGGAAAAGTTGTTGAAACTCAGATTAATTTCGTAAAATTAAACACAAAAAACACAACTGAAAAAATAAAGTACAAGGATTAAAACAGGCTCAATAAGATGGTTAGATAAATATTCTTTTTGAAATGGTCTTACTGTCTTGTTAAAACAGTTTGTGGTTCTACTGAAGATGACCACTAGAGGGCATCATAGGAAAACTGTACAGAAATTCAACTCCCATTCAGCACTACTGTTGCCTCTTTTAGTGTAAAGCTCTGATTGAACAACCACCAGCCTTCAGGAAATGCTGTGTAGAGTAATAATTTGACTAACACTTTTCCTAGCTTTAATTCTGTGTTGGTATTGAGATGCAATAAATTGGGGAATTGAAAATATTGTCAAACACTTTAATAAACAATCTGAACTGGTCAGTGTCCAGGACAAGCACATTTAGGGGATGTTATATGACCGTGTGTGATCTTTATGATTCCGCTGCAAACACTACACCTTGTCTTTTGATTGGTGGCAGAAGCAAACTACCGGAGGAAGCAAGTCAAAGCAAAAACCCACAAACACAAACCTTTCCATTAAATAAAAAACAAAGTTTTTGTCTCACCAAAAACAGAAAAATAGCACTAAAGGCAAACTTTTACATCGCTGTTTTTACAAGGCGTTCGCAGTGGAAACACATCAGAGTTGAAAAAAATTCTCTAGCATTTAATAACTCTCTTTCATTCAGTTTTTGGAGAATATTTCTACTATCTCTCCATTGTCTTGCTGCATTCTCCTCTGCTTGAGTCATTCTTAAGTTTCTTAAAAGTCCTCCTAACTACTCCTCACAGTTTGCACCTTAGGAGCTCTTAAAGTTCTTTAAGGTTTAAAGTTTACCACGCTCTAGTCTTAAAGGTGCACTGTGGAGTTTTGGTCGAGAAATGTGAAAGTCGGAGAAGTGTACAGATTATGTGGTATATGTTCATAACTCTATACACAAACTGTCCTCAGAGGAAAATCTGGTCCCTGGAACACTGTTTAAACATAAAATGTTACGCGGGAAGTTATGGTGGGTGGCTGGCAGCAGTGAAAGCATAACTCTCCTCGCCACCTTTTCTGCTCCGAACAGTGTTCCAGGGACCCATCTTATTCTTCGAATAGTTTGTGTATTAAGTTCAGAAAATAAAGCATAGAATTGTTTCACTTCTCCAACTCTCAAATTTCAATACAAAATCTACATAGTGCACCTTTAACTTTAAGGGGAAATTAAAAAAAAAAAAAAAAGTCATGATTCTAAGAATTTTCTTAGAATTTCATCACTAGGAACAACTCTTTAAATCAGAATCAGAAGGAAGCTTTATAACTACAGCCCCCAGGCATGTTGCTGTGATCTTACCAGCAGTTTGGCAGGTTAAGGGTGATGCTCCCTCCTATGTGCTCTCCAAAGCACATGTATCCTATGGTGCCCAGGCTGATGTAGAGGAACGTGACGATGCCCATCCCAGAATACAGAACGGGGATGAATCTCTGAGGCCTCTGCATCTTGTTCTCAAGGGGAAGAACCTGAAGACCCCACAGAGAAAGAGACAACCGCAGTGTTAACTGCACAATGGACCAAAAGAACGAGTCATTTGTGGGTCATCCTCTTTACTTGACATTTGAACACGAGCCCAAAGACTTTTTTAAAAAGTGTCTTTAAAGGGTTCCTGTGAGCTTTTCATTTTTAAAATGTCACTTCCTCTCAGGCTGCCATGTCTTGATTTTGGACTTAATGAAGGCTAAATTTGGGTTGACATTTCAACATATGAGAAAGTTCAGTGTTCTCTCAGCAGTCTGGATGCTGTACAAATGAGAAAACTTCTGCAGAAATCTCTTATCAGCATATCTTACTATATTGAAAAACAGTTCATGTTGCAGACCGTTTCCCACAGCTTGGCAGTAAAGTTCTTAACTATCTCTCTTAGCTAATGTCCAGTTTGCTTAAGCAGTTTTTGATCTCTGAATGCAGAACAACAAAAAAGTTTCCTGCTTTTTTTAACGATCATGTCGGGGCAAAATACACTGATAGACGTGCAACAATTGCCAGTGATTAACCGGCCTGCTGATCACTGAGATGTATTCTTCCAAATGTATTTTATGTGAGGCTGGAGTACAGTGTGATGCATGCTAATGGCCAATTTGTACTGTCTCCACATGATTATGAGAAATATGTTTATTTGTCTGTAACGGTCAGGAGTCAGGATGAATAACCTCTCCTGCAACAAACCGTCAACACATCTAATAATGCCTGAGCAATAACGGATGACGAGGCCGATCCACACTTTAGAGTCAAGTACGTGAAACAGGTTAATAGGTGAGCTTTACTCTCTTTTATGGTTTTGAATTCATAATGAGCATCCAGGCATCCAGCTCCGTCCTAAGATTTAACAGGATCGGCCAATGCAGGTCCAGTTTTGTTACTTTCAAACTACTTTTCTCTCATAACAGCCAAAAGAACCTAAATACATCAAATAAAATACATATTACGTCTGATAACCTTTTTAAAATGGCATATAAGAAAGCATAATGTACCTGAATATAGTATCTGGATCAGGAATTAGATATTTTAATGAAAAAAGGAATAATGATTATAGTGTAGCTCAAATTGGTTCCAGATATAAGCTGGGTCTTAATGATGTCTTCTGTCAAATCCAGTCATTATAATGTATCCAGAAAATCACATGAATTATTATTCTATTAAAAAACAGAATAAATAGAAGAGGGGAGAAAGAAATAGAAGAATATGAAGAAAAGACTGAAAGAAAAAACAAGAGGAAGAAGAAGAAAGAGATAGAAAAGGAAAAGGAGAAGAGAGCAGAGAGCAGAGGAAGAAGATAGAGAAGGAGAAGTAGAAAAAGAAGAACAAGAGCAAGAAAAGGAACTACTAAATGGAGAACATTATGGTTGAAGATGAAGAACGGGCCGGGGAAGAAAAAGAAAAAGTAGGAGAAGATGATGTCGGCAAAGAAGATTGAGAGGAAGACAGAAGAAGAAGAGAGAGAAGAAAGGAAAATAATGAGAAGGTTAAGGGATCAACCAGGCAGGAGAAAAAGAAGAAGCAGAGCAAGAAGACAAATGCAAACTAAGGTAATGTGAAGAATATGTTGAAGAAGAAGAACAAAAAAACAAAAACAAGGAGAAAAAAAGAGGAACAAGAAGAAGTGAATGACTTTACTATTGTTCTAGGTTGCTGCTCTATAGCTTCTCCTGGGAGCAGCTTTATGGGTTCTTTAAACTTCTCTTTGTTTCTACTCTGTATAATAAAAATACCCCAGTTGTTTCTAGTCAATGGCCAGGTTTCTTATTATGGCCAGTAAATTTGTGTTACCAGGCCCAAGGTACAAATACTTAGTACTTCACTCCTAAACTGTGAGTGTCTGTTTTGTGGGTCTGTATGCATTCTTTAGAACATAAATATCAGATGTAAATGAGTTGAAGTTATCATTGGCCGGTCACATACCACTCCGATCCCTTCGAAGGCGAAGATGGCCGTCCCAAAGAAGAGAGGGTAGTCTTTAGCTCTGCCCACCTTCGGTAGGTCGATGGGGGTAGTGGATGTTCTGTAAGAAAATAAGAGACAAATGTAAACACTTACTGTACATATCAATGATCATATCTTACTGGCTGCTTTGTCATTTCTGAATACCAGTCTACAAGTATACATCTAATCATGTATAAGATTTACAGTAAGAGCCCCACTGGTATAATTCATAATCACATTAAGGTAGAACACCTTGTGCAGAGACGAGGTCGCTTCTTGGCCTGTTGGGCTTGTTTTGTTTTCCACTAGTTGCAAATTACATTAGCTTGCAACAAAGTTATTTAATATGATTACCTTTTTGATATGTTGATGTGAAATAAGAGAATAGAAAGGGAGGGCTGTAAATACTGTGAAATGAATAAGAGACTGTATACTAAATCTCTGTGGTCAAATCTGACTGGATTACTTCGAGGCAAAAAAAAAAAAAAAAGGTCTAGATACACGACTGACGGTTTTCAAATCTTATATCTCTTATAAATCAATATCTAACAGCCTGGATTAAAATGACAAATGCTCATCAGTTAGCAGTTTCTGTCCTACTTGTGTATAATACTTTGTATTATGTTTTCATCACAGAGGAATATAGACTTGAAAATGTGTAAAAGAAAAATGATGTATGTGTTAATAAACTATATTCTGATAACTGATTAACACTCTGTTTTGTTCAGGTTTCCTTTAACATCAGGACACTCTCTAAACTGGCAGCATTTTGCAAAACTGTGATAAATATAAATCTCCCAGCCTAACTAAAAACTAAGTGAATCTTTTGGGGGAGGATCAGTAGAGTCGGCCGGACTTACAGCTGCTGACAATGCCTCTGCTATAATGGTGAAACCTCTTTATGATTTCACTTTGGATGGCCATATTTTATGTTCCTCTTAAAATGAAAGTCAGCCGGATGGGCATAAACTTTACAGCCATGATGTACAGTCATTAAAAGGAAATTGAAGCAGGCATGTAAGAAGTTGAACCACGTGAATATTTGGGGTTAACTGCAGAGCTCGAAACCATAAAGAGGAATTAAATCAAACGGAGCGAAATAAGGGAGCGATTCCAAAAGTTTTTAGTCGTGCGTGTAGCCTTTATGCTCCAGCTTTCTCAAAAAACTCCTTCCCCAGGTGATCCATCAGCCCCACAAAAAACATACAGGTCACATATATCACTTAGTGCTAAATCTTTGTACACTTTCTGATGCAAGAAATTGCTTTTTTTTTTTTCAAGGCAAGGCCGTTTCTCCGGGAACACGACTGCTATATATCTGTAAAAGGGCAGACGCTGCATGATGAAATACTCCATAACAGGAAACCAGGTAATCTGCAGACTCTGTCACTATCAGTTGTCCTGTTATCCATAACAACTAACATCCTGGGGGACCCAATCAGCAGAGTGGAAACAGAGAGAAGGATTATAATACACAAGGAGGGAAAAATCACACTTTAAAGGGGCTACTTGTAAAAGAAAGTGGAGAAAAGGTAAAATTAGATCGCTGCTGTGATTACATATTCATATATTATAGTCCTGCTGCACACAGTAAATCTCAATCGTAATCACCACAGTACTTTCATGACTATACTGTGTGCAGTAATTGCAGATATTCAATGCAATGCATTTACTTTCTGTTGAAAAACATAGCTAATCAAATATTCTGCACTTTTTCAGCCCGTCCAGATGTTTCTCTGAATCAAACAGGGACCTGTTCTTTGATTTTTCTCTACCAGGTTTTGCAAGAGAAATTAAACTGGTTGGTAAATGTGTTCCTAGATGCATTAGATGATGTGCATGACAACATTATACCCCTGGCATCAGAGCAGCAGACAACAATCAGAGAAATACAAACTTTTACATTAACGTCCTGTGGGGAGTTTTTAGCTGGTAGTTAAACAAAATGATTATTATTTTATTTTTTAAGATTTATTTTTGGGCGAGATAGGACAGTGGATAGAGTCGGAAATCAGGAAGAGAGAGAGAGTGGAGAATGAAATGCAGGAAAGGAGCCACACGCAGATTTGAACCTGGGCCGCCCGCTTGGAAGACTATAGCCACCATACATGGGGCGCTCGCTCTAACCACCAGTGCCCCAAACCAACTGAACTCTTATCACAATTGCAATATTATTCACTGTAACTGCAGTCGCACAATTACACCAAATTGTCAGTACTATAACATACATTACAAAATCAGCAAAGAATTAAGCTGTCACACTTCGTCCATAAGGGGGCGTCAAAACCGATACAATGCAAAAGTTACTCACAGGTGCTTTAAGTTGAAACTAAAAATAAGTTAATGACAACTGTGATGCTGATTTCTGCAGCTGGAAAGTGCATTTTGTAATAGTAAACATGCTCAAACCTAGAAACAAAACATGCTCTGTATTTGTTATCTAATTATCTCTTTAACTATCTGAGCCATGAATACAGTTGTAATATGAAAGTCCCTGCAGTTGTTGCCAATATTCTCTGTCTTTGTGACACAGCTGTCACTTCTGTTGTTTGTTGTCATTTGACTTTGTTGGCGTCTCAGAAGAACTAGAGAGTTTCAGGTCAGGAGAAAGAAAGGTTTCAAATCTTTTTAAATGCCTCTTCAGAGAACTAAACATTTTTGAATTGGGTCGAACAAAGAGTCTTTAATGTTTTCTCATCAAAACAGATATTCACTCTACCACTGTGACGTCAAAGTGGTCATAATACAGGAGAAGCAAAATCTTTGGCTTCAATATGCAAATCCTAGATCAAATATATAATACAGAAGGATTTTTTTTCTGCTGAGCATTTGCATGCAGACTGGATGTATGCTGTATTCAGACTGCAGATTCATAAGGTGCGTTAATTGGTTTAACCAAGTGTATTTTGTGACCTGACACAAAGTTTAGAGAAAGGGCCATGCTGATGAGTAGAGCTAAAGTCAGTAAACCTTCTCTGAATTAAAAAAGGGTTGAACTGAGAAAGAGATACGGAATAAATCTGGTGCTTACGGTCAGAGAGTAGAAGTAGATGAGGATCAGGCTGGCCGTCATGACCAGGTTGGCAATCAGGGAGAGGGGAGCCAGGTACTTCAGGTTGGGGGTGAAGACCAGTAGGATGAAGGGGGGCAGGAAGCAGAGCATGTAGAGACGGGAGTCGAAGCTCGGCACCAGGACCTGCGTCTGGTTGGTGAGGTTCATGTGGCAGCTGAAGGTGGTGGCATTGGCTGCTTCAACCACCTGGAAAAGACATGAACGGAGGGAAAATATCATGTTATAATGAGAGAAAGAGGGTAAGGTCTTAGTATTGTCACTACTGGGACTAAAATATTCCTCATCCAGGCCAGGTGTTTAAAAATCAGAACAGTGACTGACTGGATGGGGAGTGTTTAAAATAACCACAAATAAAAGTGCAAAGGTTTTAAGAAAAGTAGAGTATTAAATTCTGCCAGGTGAAGTTCATGTTGCAGCTTAAGAAAAGAGAACACCAGAGTAGACAGATGCTACCATCTAGTGGTAAGAAACTGTAACACACAGAAGGACTCTCCCCAGGAAAAGTCTTTGAACAATGTCAGAATTGTCAGAATTTAGAGACCAGATCAAATTCAAACACAGAAAAAACACATGAGATCTCAGGCTGACGAAGAGCAGGTGTGCTCAAAATGTCACCCTGGTGAAATACATTTCTGGAATATTGGAGCCCTGCAGTGTGCGAGCCATCTTTGTCTTCGATAACTCTCGTCTCATATCACATGGGAAAACATTCACTGTAAGGCTTTTTAGTCAGTGACAATTTGAGGGACATTCAAAGTTACATTCTTAGATCTACAACACAGGATCAATAGGGAGGGATAAGTTCACCGGTCCAAGGTCACACAGCAACCAAAGATAAATAGCAAGTGGAGGAATGTTTGAGCTGAACTGAACCTGCACACTCTGTCTGAGTGCATGACGCATACACAGGTACAATTCTGTATCATTATGGTTTTTTAAATTAAACCAGGAGTTCTGTCTCATTGAGTTTTAAAAAATATTTTGCAAGTGTCATAGCCATGACAGGCAGTGGCACAATAGCATTGTTTCTGCCTTAAAACACAATTTTAACAGTTAAATAAAATATCAACATCTACAGTCAGAAGTTATTAAGTATTACTTCAGTTCTATTCAGTGAAACCTGTTTATGTAGATTGGAATAATTTCCTCTCAAGAAGAAGGAGCAGTGTACTTGAAGCCTCTTTGCCCCATTTGAACCTTTGTATAAAGTAAATAACCATGTGTTAAAAGTGACGTGTGTGTGTGTGTGTGTGTGTGTGTGTGATCATGACCTGCTTGATATTGTCGCTGAGGAAGACAAAGTAGACGCAGCAGAAGCCAAGCTGGGTGATGATTAGAAACAAGTTCACAGTCTGTCTGAGTAAGACAAAAAAAGGGAAGAGGTCAGATGAAGGGAACAAAATGAGTTTCTGTATGTGCAATGCAGATTAACTTTATCCACTTACTTATAATACGTGGTCTTAACATGGAAACTTGGTTTTGAAAAGTGCCACATAAATTCAAGTATTTTATTTTGAAAAATTGACAGTTTTTTTGTACAAATTCCAAACTTTCTTGTTTAAAAGGGTTCAATTGGCCGTTTAAATGTTTCTGCTTTTTATTACTTAACATTGCACAATTCAAGGTTTTGCAGTAACCCGATTTTAGAGAGGTAGAGCCTCTGAAACTATTTTTAAAAGTTCATGAAACTCTAAATATCTTCACTGAACTGGGCACTGGTAAACATGAAATGAAAATGAATATGAAAATGTACAGGTTTATAATAATTTGAGGAAAATAAATACACAAAAAAGAAAACATGAGTGGGGGTTGATAAAAGATGAGAAAACATTTGAGCAGAGTTGTATTCTTGTTTTGATGGGATCAGTAGGTGAAACATTTGTCTTACTTTCCCCACTGCGAATGTCTCCTCAGCCATGAAACATTTTCCATCCCATGCTGCATCGCTTCACCGTATGTCAGAAATGGCCTGTTCACTCTGGAGGGAAACACAAAGTCACATTTTTCAGTTCACATCTCAGTGGTCTGTTCAGATAAAATGATATTATGCAGAAGTGCAAATAACTGCAGCTCCTGACATGTCCACTTGAGGCTTTTCCAACAGTGAGGTAAAAGTGAAGACCACCAAGTATACGTGTTAACATAAGGATACTTGTACTATATATTTACTCCTCCTAAGAATGAAATAAAAGTTGCAGGAAACCCTTGACAGAAACAAAGGAAGTATGACATTATGAAATAAAAAACTCACAATTAAATTAAATCTGTGGGGGCGCTGGTGGCGCAGCGGTTACTATGTATGGAGGCTGTAGTCTTCCAAGCGGGCGGCCCAGGTTCGAATCCAGCCTGTGGCTCCTTTCCCGCATGTCATTTCCCATTCTCTCTCTCTCTCTGATTTCCAACTCTATCTACTGTCCCATCTCTCAATAAAAGGCACAAAACACCCAAAAATAAATCTTTAAATTCATTCTGTGGCTCATTACAACTGCTAATAATAATGGGCATTTGTAGATTTACTACTTTATACTTGTGGGTAGTGTTGTCAGAAAATTCAACCAGTGGCTCCTGCATGTCTGAGTGAAGAAGAGGATGTGAACAATCAAGCTCTGTAATAAAGTAATCCCTGAAACATTTTTTTTTTTAATTTCTCGGATTGATAAACAGTATGAGGGGTAAGCAGAGTACAAGTGCAGTTGAATCTATTTCTGCAGGCCTGTAGTACATGCTCGTCATTCATGCTCTCTATCTGCTTAATCCTCTTTAGTGTTGCAGGGCAGTGCTTGCGTATGTCCCTGCATGAACAGGGCAAAGGGTGGGACGGAGACACTGTTTAAAAGCAACGCACACTGAAGCTCATACTAATGGAGCTCTGAGAACAAGGTGGAGTGCACATGAGTGTGATAATCACCTCAGTAGTCATACAATAACAGCTGTTAAACAGATAATGGATCATTCTAGGAGTTTATTGACTCAGTTATATAATCGGGTGGCTTTAAATTTGACTTGTGACAACATTTACTGCAGCAGTTTCGACTGGTGGAGCTAACAGGTCAGTTACATTATCACTGCTTTGTTGACTGACAAACACTCAGTCAACTCAGTGTCCATATGCTGTTTATTACAGTGGGGAAAGGGTGGAGAGACACAGACACCTAAATAGAGTTTAATCTGTCCGTGACAACACACAGTCTCTGTTGGCACAGTGGACAACAAAGTATACACATGGCAACCCTAGCAGAAGCCATTGGTTTTACAGTGCATAAACTGTTAGATTATAAAGCAGCAAACAGCCACAGTGGACCTGCTGTGAGGGAATGAAGATAATACCAAGAAATGATATTTAGGCTGTAATCTGGAAACAACTGCTGCAGGAATACCAACATAGTACAAACCATGAGACATTTACTTGAACCCACTTTATCACAATATACTTTTTCTTTCTTGAGTTAAGTAAGGAGAAATAATATAAAAAAGGTTTTAAAGTCCCTTTACCAAATATTTACAGACTGTGGCAGTCTTTAACATTGCAACTTTTATAGTACTGCAAACGCAACACAGAAAAGGAAGTTCACTCCTGGTTATACAAACATGAGACGGAATGCAAATATGTCCCTTTTTTGCCATCAGTCAATTTGGCTCTGTAATTTGAAACACCATGATAAAAACAAATATGATAACATCCTTTGGTTTGGATTTGACTTTTTTGGTTCATATGAGTAACTTTATTGAGGAAACAATATTATTTCCTAATCAAAATATTTATCAAGGAATACATTCAACCTTCATCACTCCAATGGTTTTGTCCTAACCATTGATTAATAAAGGTTTGGCCAATCTGGAGCAACTAGGGGTTGAGTATTTTGCTCACCTGTGTCATAGCAATCCATTGTGACATTCACCAATAAATATAAATACATGTTTACAGTGCATCATGATAAATACAAATATCATGCAATTTAATGTACGACTGATAACCCCGACATTTGTTTTAGAGAAAGAGTCAGGTTGAGGAAAAATGCATTGCATTTTGGTCTATTAAATCTAATGTGCATGAAGGATTTCCTGTTTGCTTTGTTAGAAGGCGTTGACATTATTCACGTCTGACATTTCAGTGACATTTCCCTCCACTTAGCCTGCTGGTAGTCAGTTAAAAGAGCAGACTGACTGGCAACACTTGTTTTATAAGTCTGTTAATGAAGTGCGGCTTCATTATGTTCTTTTTTTCTTACTTTGCACCAAGGTGGTGTGAACATTGGACCAGCATCCTCATACAGTGGACTGCTACGATTCCCATACACAGCAGGCTGACAGGTCCGAGCTGGAGAGAGGGGCAGAAAGGACACACATTTTTTGAAATTCAGATATGGTTCTAGTAAAAATCGAAAACTATCAATACCTGGGTCTTGAAACAAAAAAATTCCAAGCTACCAAATATTTGGTAATTTCTTGTATTTAACTACCATAAATGGCAAGCAAACAAATCAGAAATTAGCAATAGTAATTAATTCAATTAAATAAACTGCACTGACACTAAAACATTACATATGTTGTAGCCATGACAACGAGCTGCATATCATAAAAACACAAAACAGTGGCAACAACTCCAGCATTTATCACACTAGTTACTCATGCTAGTACATAACATACAGTATATCAATTCAAGTTCTCTTTAAGAGATCATATAAAATACCGCACAGCTATAGAGAGGAAGGAGTGTGACAGGACCAAACTAGATCAAGCATAAGAATGATGCAGTATCAAGTTGTTGGACTGGTTCATGGTTCACTTGTCCTTTTACTTTCACAATGGTGTCTATTGTTTTATTTAAGAGCACTGTGGGAACAGATGGTCTCTTATCATGTAGCACTTACATGCTGTCTCACTGCTTTGAATACAATCTTTCACTTCGGTGCAACATGTAAATGTTTCACACCTCGACCACAGATCTCTACACAATTCTGTGAACCAGAGTCTCAGCTTGGTAAATAACACTCCTGGAACATCAGAAGTACATGTGAAAAATTAAATTAAGAATGATATAACCACCGCTGTTTAAGAGCATTTACTTTCTTGCCACCTTATTGAAAGCACATGCACAAAAAAATAACACAGAAAGAGTTGCGCTGCAGCAGGTGGCCTATCAAGCCTGAGTACATTTGTATTTTATCATGAGTATCTGACAGGAGTTGGAGCAGAATCTAATACTGTGTCTCCAGACCTGAAATGTGACCCGATATGATCAGATAATAAACGGTGTACTCACCACCAGACCTGCATTCTTAACAGCCAGAGGCAGACCCAGCAGCCCCGTACCAATGTTCCCTTTCAACAAGTGGATAAGAGTCTGGCAAAAACTGTAGAAGGAAAAGAAAACAACATACATCTGCTGTTAAGACCAGATCAACTTTGTTTATATCACATTTTCAACTCATTCAGAAGACACTCCGTTGTTAATGACTGCTTCCTGTTCCGTACGTAGTCGATTTTTAAAACTTACGAGGTCCCCGTCCGTTCACCAATCCTCTCATAGTTACGCTGAGGTCTGGAAGGTCCCGGAGGAGAAGGACAGAGAGCATCCATTTCTGATGGATTTTGGTCAGAGAGTAAAGAACCTGCAAAGAGGGAAACACAAGAATATATGAGAAAAAAAAAACTGTGTTGCACGTTGTAAACCGCAGTATCATAAAAGGGAGATTTTACAGTTGAAGATGTTGGCAGATTTATATTGATGTTTATTTCATCAATTTAAATGTTGGCTAAACAGCTTCTTATAACAACTGCAAAATAAACACAAGTGATAAAAGCATACACATAAATCATGTATAATATTTACATTTATGCAACAATTAGTTAGTAATTAATCAGTCAATCCAAACTGGTATTAGTCAGAAACCACATCTGCCCTAAAAAGCAAGTGTCCCATATTCCACTGACATATTCCTGTTTGAAACTGGATGTCTTGGTGGTTTTGTTCGTTGATAGCCTATTGTGAATCTATGAACTAAATGCAATGAAAATAAGTAAAAAGTATTTAGTTTAAAACTGTTGTTTGATGTCTAATGTCAGTTTCTTACTTTCTTGTCTTGAATTAAATCTTCAGCTCACATGCCGTACGAGCTCAGTATGAGTGTTACTTTGTTTCTGATCTAACTGTTTTTTTATCTTGCGTTAATCTTGCTTCTCTTTGGTCTCACTGTGCATTAGGCAAAGCACGAATCAAAATCATCTTGTGACCAAATCTGATAGAGAGATTCTATCAGAAAGTGTGTCCTTAGAACCTGCTGACTGACCATAATAAACACATTACATATTTTTGGTAGAACCGTCTATCATGAAATTAAATCAAAACAAATGTCATGGACTGAACAAAAGCCCTGCTGCTGTAGTCAGCTCCTTCCACCGGCTTGTTTATTGATCTGAGAAACAGCGCTCAGGCTGCTGGCTTCAGTGGAATTTACTTCAGTCTCTCGTGACTCTTGTTACCCTTTAACCATCAGAGAAGAACTGGGGGCATATTTCAGTGAAGGAGAGATGAAGAGCAGAGCGTTCATTGTTGCATCAGCAGGCTAAATGCCTACTCACTGTGAAAACAAATACTGAAATGAAACAGGCCCGTCTTTAAATCACAAAGCCCTGTGTTTAAAAATCACTCGGCTGAACTCTGACATCACTCCTGACAACTACACAACAAAACACTGATGTATAAGTACAGGAGGTTCAATTTAAAGTTCAGCAGAGCATGCATACACCATACACATTATATCCAAAAATATTTATCAACTAGAATTGGACATCATTTCGAACAACAATTTGATTCAATTGAAAGAAAGAAGAGATTGAAACGTTGTCTCCCAGACAGACATGCATGAATTTTCATTTGATTTCATTTGACCTGCATGACAAATGCATCACAGCAAAATCAGATTATTTGGAAATTATGCTGCTATAATAAACCCGTTTTGAGCTTGTTTGATAGTTCAATAGTTGTTGTCCATTGAAGGAATCCTGGTATCAAGCATGGCTGAGCCGAGTCTGACCTACCTAACAGATCATCAAACAGAGCACTGGTGAGCTTTAAGTAGCTGGGAGTGTGAGTCAAGTAAATCCAAACACAGGTCCTGGAGAGGCAGTAAGTTAGCTAAGGGTTGCACGTCTGCAGGATGGAGTTATAAACTGACTTTCTGGTTTGCAGTTGAAAAGGCAAATAGACTGCCTGTCTAAAAGTCGCCACCGGGATTTAACTAAGCAAATAGGTAAGAGCCTCCCATTGGATAATAACTGCATGGGCGATTATCTTTCAGCTCATGCAATGAGTAGCTTTTCATTTCTTAAACTACTATGTTAAAAGACCCATCCTGTGGTCGTGGAAAAGATGTTAGTCTGTTTGAGAAGGGTCAAATCATTGGCATGCATCAAGCAGAGAAAACATCTAAGGAGATTGCAGAAACAACTAAAATTGGGTTAAGAACTGTCCAACACATTATTAAAAACTAGAAGGAAGATTTACCCTGCTCTCTGTAACAATACAGATTATAAGTAAAGGATATTTGAGTGAAGCTGGGCATATACTGTACAATTTTCTGCAAATTAAGACCCGATTTTTGAGACAAGTGGTAAATTGTTCAGTGTACACTGAGTCACAACGGCCAATAACGGCCCAAACTGCTGTTCCCGACTAGTCAGATGATTTTCTGTTACATTGAAAGATAGACACAGAGCAAAGCTCATTCCCCAACTCTGGGACTTTTTTCCTGATTGGGCCTTCACAAACTGACAGACAACTTTTGAAACCACCATGGCAACAGCAGGATTGCCTGTTTAATCTGTTGTCCCCCTCCTATCATGAGAGAAACATTGGCAAGAAACAACTGCAGACCTCCATCTGACAGGGAATATTAGGATTAAGCAGCTAGAAAGCATGTGTTTATTGTTGATGCAGATTGTGTGTACGTGTGTCTGTGTGTGTGTGTCTGTGTGTGTGTGTGTGTGTGTGTGTGTGTGTGTGTGTGAGAGTGAGTGAGAGAGAGCAAGCGTTTTTGACGGTGTGCATATTTGAGCCGTGCATAGGAGGCAAATGAAATGAAAATATGTAGATCTGACTTCAATCCCCCCTCTGAGTTTTCTATTGACAATTGTGTACGCTCCGCCTCCATCCCAAAGTAACTTGTAAAGTGTGAGTTCTCAGGTCAGGCCGGACTATCTGGGGATTCCCCCGAGGCTTTTCTACGACCCCTTGTCTACGCCAGGCTTTACTTTACTTTATGGAGAAAATAAATCACAGCTGCTGTACATTCATCAAAATGTGTTTTAATCCTTTGTTGTGACATCCTGCCAAATTAATTAGACATTAAAGCTGTTTTAATGATTCTCTGTCAAACATCCAACTAGGCTTACATATAATCCCACTGAGTCTACTTTAGATTATGTTGGATATAAAGTGTGTGCCATACCCAGAGTTGTGTTATTTCCCATTACAATGTACTGACAAAAACAGTGCACATGTTTGACATACCTTCACCTCTCGTGTCCACATCACTGGAGGCCATCATGTTGGGACGGGTTGTCGGCTGGGTGTCGTCTCCCCCAGCCTCACAGATCGTAATGCCTGGAGGTCAAAGAGTCCAGCATTGACAGCTTTGCACTACAAAAATAAATATATCAGTGTAAGATTCAACATCATCAAATAAACTAAACAAATAAAATTAATTCAGCGAATGGAAGTTACACGGGCGGATCTTCATGGCTTTTAGTGACGTGTTGCTTCTTTGATTCAGTTGTTAGCATTTGTAAATTTTAATTTTCAGCGTGCAAAGGAGTGGGCAATTTAAAAATGTTACATTTAAAAACTAGAATATGAATGCCTGTAATATTTCCCTTTATCAGTATAATAAGCAAATAATAATACATATTCCCATCAGTTTCCCAACATGAAAGAGTCCATCATTGAAACAGATCCCAACCCCCAAACATTGAATTACAAAAGATATAAAACGCTCACCAAACATGGAGAAATTTGGTATTTCTGCTGGATATAAATCACCCAAGCAGTTCCCTAATCACTCATTTTCAGCCAGCCGGTGTTTCTGTGTATTTTTCTTATGGCTAGAATGTCTCCATGTTTGTGCTTTCTAGTTTTCTAACCCTTCCTTGAAATCTATTTACAATGGAAATTAAACCAAGCATAATAAACCCCATATGTTGGTTTTCAAGGAAGTACTTTGGAATTTTCTAAAGACCGGTTTAAGCTCCTTGAATTTTTTTCTTCTCAGTATTATACGGCAAAAACAATTTTCTAAGGATCTGGAACAAAATAAGAAATTTTAAGAGGCAAACTTGAACTCTGCAAACATTCAACAATTCTGTCTTGACAAAAGAAATTAGAATATCCGCCTTTTAGCTAAAACTATAGTTGAAAATGTGTTTTTAATGGTGTAATGCTGCAGTACTGTACAAACAACAAGGGAAGAAACCTTTAACTTCACTGGTCATCTAATAAACAGGTCATCATAATAAGCCCCATCTATTTAGTAAAGGCTTTTTGGGATTATATGGAAAAATCTGGAAAATCGTAATATGATCAAATTCAGTTAGCGTGGAAATTGTCCGACATACAGGCGAGATGTTTTATGGTCTCTGAGGGAGGTGCAGCCTGCTTAGCCACAGTATTACACAAGAGCACCAAAACAGTCTCTGAGAAGGTCTTCATAACCTGCTGCCGTGTGTCAGTGTAAATTCTTTTTATAATCAAACATGGATTTATAAGAAGGCTTTACTGTCCGTATGCAAGAACAGAAGGTTTGGACAATGCTGCAGTTTTGGTGATCCAGACTTGAGAGCATTTCCTGAAGGTCAGAGGGAGCACACTTAATTGTCTTCTTGTTGCATCATTAAAGTATTTTAGTGAATTCAGCACAACCTGAGAAACAGAATTGTCGGTATTCACAGAATACATTTTGACACCTGTAAAGGTCGCACACGCAATATTGGAATAAAGTATGTATGCACACACAATCCTTGGCAGCCCTGCATAAGTCCAGGCCCCAGTGCAGCCCCAGTCAAATAAATCTGTATTCGCCCCTGCTTGTGAAATTAACGAGTGTGCACTAATCTAAATCTATACACTAAGTATTTTGAGCCTACTTGTTGGAGTAGCGGGGGATCCAGATGTATGGTAGAGGTAACACTGGTAGCAAAACGTCATGTTTACATGTTTAAATGCACAAAAACTGTTCCTACATGTTGAGTTTATTTCAAATATTTATTTAATTTCAGCATGTTCGTTTATACCAATACATAGTAACATTTGCTATTGAACAGTTGGTTACATCAGGTAAGGGGAGTCTGAGGGTCTCCATAAAAAGCCTTAAGGTTGGATTTAAATACAGACAGAGACTGTAATTTAATGTCTGTAATTTTACATTTAATGATTTTTAGTCATTTTGGTTTTATACAAACTATCACACAAACACTTCTTGTAAACTAGTAGAAGCAGTGCACTATTACATTTTGTCTGAGGCCCTGTTTTATTCTTTTTACTCATGTTGAAAGTGCCGATTCATCGAAGTTGTAATGAGAGTTGGCTCTGATACCGCCACATTCAAAAGGAGAAACCTGTAAGCTCTCTGGAGTGCAGAGAAGAAGGCTATAAAACGATATTAAGATAAATTTAAGCCGCAAATAACTATTCTCCTTAATGCTAAATTCTCAATTATTTGATCTTTTTCAATTACGCGACACCCAGCCACCACCATCGGACTGTGTCGTCCCCACAACCACCGGCGTCCTCATTCATGAACGGACTGCTTCGACCTCCACCTCAGCGCCACAAAAGTGTGGACAGCAGGAACGCGAGGAATGCAAAAGAGAAATCCTGCCTGAATATTATCGCATATGCTCTTAAAGCGTCTTGAGATTACACTTGTTATGAATTAGCCCCATACAAATAACGATTGATTGATTCAAGACACAGATCTAATGAGGGATAAAAAAAAAAGTGTTAGGAAATACTTTCTCCCAAGATTGATTTAAGCTCCTTGAATTTTAGAAAATTCTCAGTTTTCTCCGTATTATATCAGAATAAAGAGAATTTTCAAATGGTTTTACAAAAATACATTTGAAGATTCTGACTAGGTATCTGGGATCACTTTAATGGGTTTGTTTCAATCATTACCTCTATCGGTAGCCTCAAAAGAAACTAAGCATTCTCGACTCAAAAAACTAAAAATGCATTTGAAAATGTTCATGTTTGAGGCTTCACTTGTATTTGAACAACAAGGCATCTAATATACATGAATCATAATAAGGCCTCGTTACTCAGGAAAGGATTAACAGTATGTGATTATGAGGGGACTCTAATTTCAATCGAGTAAAAGACCAAGGTTAAGGAAGAAGATATAATGATCAAGGCTCTGGCAGCTTAGGGACTGACAGGCTGAGTTGTTGGATGGTCTCTGAGGGAGGTACAGCCAGCTTAGTCACAGTGTTACGTAAAAGCACCAACAGGGTTTGTGAGAAGGTCTTCACAACCTGCTGCGTGTTGTTGTAGCTTCTTGTTCTAATCAAACTGGGATTTGTATGCAGGCTTTACTGTCCACTTGCTTAGCAGAACCTGAGAAACAAGATGGTCTGCATTTACACACAAAAAAAAAACATACTTCCAAGATTTCTCACCAAACAAAAAAGTGTGTTTATCCTGACTCGACCCGACCCTAAACTATTGTGTTTTATACAAGGCCTCTCAAGTGTTGAAAAAGAGAAGACCAGAGAAGAAGTGTGACTTCCACATCAACTACAATGTAACTGAAGGCAGGCTAAAGGGCTTCAATTACAAGCCTATCAGCAATTTTAACCACTGTGTCATGAGAAGACCAAACAAAACTAACTACTGTGACAATGCTGATAGCATGGAGTGCACAAAGCAGCACTTTAAACAGAAAGTTATTACACTGAAGGAATGTTAAAACATATAAATACAAATATGCTTATAGTGTCTTCTACAACAATAAAATGTTAATGAATGCAACACTAGCAATCATTAAAATTAGTGAACATTAGCTGATTTCATTGTTTCCATTTGGACAGTCCCAACTAGCAAAGAGTGATATTACTCGAGGAAGAAATTAGTTTTGAGCTGAAATTTTGTCATACAAAAAAAAAAAAGCTGGTAGCATTGAAATTCCCTGTATATTTTTCAAAAGTCCAAGACACAAATATTCAGCCCCTCCAGGAAATTGCCATGTCCAGAAACTTTTCACAAATTTACCAATCATCTTTTCCCCCCGACCCCTAACAGGCCTGCATCACCATGGGTTAGAATGGAATCGCTGTAATACTGAGCACTTTTAGTTAGGCAAAGGAAACTTTCAGCACAAGATTTATTATAAAGCAGCCTCAAAGTCAGTCTTTTCAGGCTTTGAATGACCATGGAAACATACATGGGCTATGTTTCATATTATACAACCTCACAAAACATTTTGAAATAGGTACAAGGAGGTGCGCATGAGCACACTAGAAAGCTACCTGTGCACTCATTTATTTAACTAATTTCAAGCAACAATTACCGTAAAATCCGGTGTATAAGACTCACTTTTAATACCTATTTTTTCGTCTTAAAAGTTGGCTGCGTCTTATACACTGGTGCGACCAATACACCAGTATAAAATACTGAAACACGCGCCATCATTACAGCGGGTGCAGCAGCCCCTAACTGCAACCTGACGTGATTAAAAACCCATCCCCATTCATTGTGTATTGAAATCTGAGTGCACGCTATGCAAGGAAAGACGGCGACACAGACCAGTTTGGCTGCGCGACTTTTTCCACATATTTTCTTCCTCACGAGGTCATAATCATGCATTTACAGAAAAAAGTGCAGTGTTTCCCCTAGGTTTAAAGCTTTGGGGGGGGGGGGGGTGCGGAGGTGCGGGCAGACGGACGCCGACACAAAAACGTTAAGTAATCTTGGTGTTCATGGGTTACTTTTAATGACAGCTGTCCTGTTCTATCGGAAAGGTATCCTTAAATGAATTCTTTCCCTGATGTCCGACCCTATCCACTATCCCATCTCTACAATAGAGATGTGCATTGAAATGTTACAATGTTACAATTCACTTGAAGGACGCTTTAATCCAAAGCGACATACATTAGAGAGTAAGTAAGTACAACCGTAATCCATTCATACACCGCCACCGAAGCGGCGGGAGCAATGCAGGGTTAAGTGTCTGTCCCAAGGACACATCGGATATGTTGCTCAGCTGGGGATCAAACCCTCGACTCTACCAGCTGAGCCACAGACGCCCCGAAATACATTTGTGAATCTTATTTTTGTATTTGTGGATCTGTTTTACATTTATATAGAATGAAATATATTTGTGTGTGCATTGAACTACATTTGTGAATCCTTTCTGTGTGCATTCGTGAATACCGAGACTGATCTAACACCATATTTCACAAAGCTCATGGACACGTCCAAGCAGTAACCTGTTGCTTTTGCACTGTCAATTAACTAATGTTCTGTTTTTGAATAAACTTGTGGAAATTCAAAATGTTTTTTTTTTTTTTTTTTTATCCGATTCATCGATTAATCGGAAAAACAATTTATTCGGTTATTAAAATAATCGTTCGTTGCAGCCCTAATTACATGGTTAAGGGTCAATTACTGATCTATCACAGGATCTAGTGTTTACATATGATAAGCGACACGCAGTACATTATTTGTTAGGTGCAGCCAAACTCTCCTGCCTGCGTTTGCTTAACCGGGTCGGTAAATTCAATAAGTGTTGTCCTTTCATAGCAACACAAACACAGACACAAAGACACTGCAGACACACCGGGTTAGGGTCACTATCGTCTCAATGGACAAACGCGTTAACAGCGTTAACGCTGTTTGCCTCCGAGAATGTTTATGTTAAACAAGCGAACTATACATTTTGTAATAATCTGATACTCGTTTGTTTTGTTGACGCAGTAGTTCAGCTACAGTGTGTGTGTGTGTGTGGTGTCATCATTCAACAGTAGCAGACGTTAGCTAGCTGTTTGTTTGTTCCGTTAACACCAACCTGCCTCGGAGAAAACGTCGCAGTTTTGCTTTCCTCCCCTGGTCTCGGGCTGGCTTCAAGAGGCTAACCTCGCCGCAGAACCTCTTATTTTCATATTGGAGCCATGTCAGGTATGCCAGGATACAAGGGCGGCTACACTGCACCGATTTGAAGGCAAAACAGCAAGTCAGTCGTCAATGGGAGTCAGAGCTGTGTTCACATGACCTCTTCGGGGAACGAGTAGCTGTGCGTTCAAGTGTTAAACAAATAATCGGAAAAAAAAACTCTTACTGAGGAAAAACGGAACAACAACCGGAAAAGTGGGAGAAAATAATTGGTGCCTAGTCAAACGAGGTCGTATTACACAGACAAAAGTAAATGTTACCTTGATATTACAATAGTTTACGTAATGCATTTTTAATTTTAGTCCGGACGGTTATTTGTGCTGTGTTGTAAGCTTGGCAACTATAGTAGTTCTGTTCTGAGCAATGGGAGGACGTATATCTTAATTGCAGCCATCCGGTTTTTACATTAGAGCTCCTGAACGCATCAAATGCTGACAAACGATATCTAGACTTGAGAAGGCCAAATATCCGAGGAATACTTGAATGCATTTTGCTTCGTGCTGTCCGACGTGCTGTTGCCATAGATACAGGATTATAATTTAAAAAGACGAGTTTAGGCTACTGCCTATTTAGGCATTTTATCAATAGTTACAAAAATAAACTCTATCCCACTGTAGTTTCATTTTTGGTAACTAACGTTGATTGCATGACCCCATTTTTTTATTACAAAATCACAATGTTAGCCTAGGCCTATTCAAATTTTTTAGATCTTGGCCTACTGACATTTCCTCCATGAATGATTTGTAATTTAATACTAAATAATGATCTCAGAAATGAACGACAGATAAAACAAAATGTAGCCTATAAACAAAAAAAACAGCAAAAAAAGAGTTGAAAATAGAAATTGAATAAATACACAAGTTGACAAAGAAAAAAATGGTTATAGGGGGGTTTGTGCAGAAAATGACAACTGACTTCCAGTTTGCGATTAGATTAATTTCCATAGGCTGATGCCTATGGAAAACCTTATAGGCATAGGCATACCATCATATTGTGTAGGGTATAGCTACCCACATCATTCTTAGCCTTTCATCTCCCTTGTCCAATAGCCTATGTCTCTAGATGCATTTATTTTATTTTAAGATATTCCTTATATTGGGTAAAATTGTTTCTTGCATTCAAGACTTGACAATGTTCATTTCAATAAGATTAATATAAAATATCATGTGTTTTGTATAGCCCACTTCCTGAAACATATAGTCAATAAAGATAGGAAATTAGGATTTTGTTGATTCTGTCTTCTTCCATTGCGCGAATAATGAAGTTGGATAGACTAATGCCAGAGAGAATTATAGCCTACACTTATTTTGTCACTGCTCCTCTACATCAGTACTTTGAAGTTACACAGATCATTTGTTTGTAAAATCACTGGCCAAAACAAGTAAGCCTTTCACCCCCCAAAAAACAAACCCTTTAAGTTATTTAACAAATCTTTATATTATTTATTCAGATTATTTAAGCTATTTAGGCACGGTAGTGAATTTCACATTCATTTCACTACATAACAAGAGTCTCCAAGTCCTTTACCATTTTTAATATTTTCATGGTAAAATTCAATAGGCTACATGGATACATTAAAATCATCATTTTACACTGAAGTATATTCTGTAGCCCCTGATTATGGTATTCAAATTTATTCAGGTTATTTTTACTTTATGTACATTTTGAGTGTTTAATGTGTTAATGCCTATTTCGTTACAGTTACTTGTATTGATTAATGTTGATAAATTTGATTATATGTCCATGTTGATCAGATATTTATGATCTGCTGTCATGAAACAAACAAAAAAACAGTCAAGCTCCCTGAACAATAAATTCTGTCTGTCGTTTTCTAACCTAAAAGAAAGAGGTGATATAAAATAAATAAAGTATATTTTTCTCGTTTACGCTTTTATTTAGAATAATAAAAAAATAAACACATTTTTTTCTTCTAATTCTTATACTGCACTCGTCAACGTTGCGAAACAGTTTTTAATTACAATTTCTAAAAAATAAATAATTTATTTTGTTTTTTTTTTCTTCTCACACCGGATATCCTGTAGTGGCGTTAATCACAGCTACCTTTACTCTAGCCAGCCAGCCAGCCAGCTAGCTAGTGGACGTTTCTGGAGGCTTTCACGATACTTTCGGAAGTCAGAGGCACAGGTCAAAAGCTGAACTAGTTTGCGCAAGATCTCATTAAACATGACGGTAAGGTACAACCCATATTTTAAGTTGAAATTAGCTTTACTGCGAAGTCAAATATCCAGCATGTCCTATGTTCAGTGCTGCGTAGCGACCTAGCTAGCTCTGGAGACTTGGTTAAGTTGGCTCATAACACTTAATATTTACAATCTATGCAGCTGTATAGCAAATAGATTTTCTCTATTGACTTGTCAGAGTTTTAGCAGAACATGAGGTTATCTGTTCCGACTCTTGTCATAACTGAAACCAGCTGAGCATGACGTCACAGTTAGATCAATACTGGTCGTGCTGGTTTTGAGTTTGGCCCAGGGTTTCCAACTTTGACATATCTCTAAACTGTATGTGATCTGACCTCACTGGATTTGGTTTGTCCTTATCTTTAAACTGCAGCGTAGGTGTCGCAGTCATTACATATGATCGAAGTGAAATCCAGTTTTCACACTCTTAACATGCTCACTGGGAACACTGGGAAGTGACATTCAGATCATTTTTGATGACATTTGATTAATGTGTCTGTCACAGAAGCACGAGTTTGAGGTTGCTATGACGTGTGAGGGATGCTCAGGAGCGGTTACCAGAATCCTCAACAAGGTGGAAGGTGAGAGTGACAGGTCGTCTGCATCTCTTTATCTCTATTCTCCTTTGGGTGCTATAGGAAGAGAGAAAACAGACCCCCCCCCAGGTGATCTTCTGTTTCCGCCATTCCAAAACTTAATTGAAACTAAATCGAAGTCTTTATTCCAGGAAACACCCTCTAATAATAACGTGACTCTGATCATAAATTAGGACCTAGATGGACGGAGGTTTTCCCTCAATGTTTTAAAACCAACAAGATTCTGTGCCAAATTGTGGCGATTACAATGCAGTGCAAATAAATAATCCATTCACTGACATATTAAGTGTAAAGCTTATCTAATTTAATTAAAAAATACAAATGATTTAGTTTTATTGTAAATGATCTCCCTTGTCCTACCTACAGTAGATTCAACTTCTACTAGAAGTCAAACGTTAAGAATCACAACTCTAATTCATTTTGATCCCATTGCAATCCACCATGAATTAATTTAATCAGGTTACATTTATGTCCCTGCATTTTATTTCAATATCTTTTCCTTAATATCAATATGCAGGTTAATGAGTTGGATATTAGCAGATCCTACCATTCACTTGTTCTGTGATGTGAGCTCCAATCTTAAACATTCAATTAAAACACCTGCAATGAAATTATGAATCATTTTTATTTCAGCACATTGAGTCTATGCTTGTCATATAAAATGTGCTCTATAAATAAACTCGACTTGACTATGTATCTGTCTAAATAGGGTTGTTCTCACCTTACATGATTTTTTAAAACTTTGATTTAGTCAAAATCAGCAGATTTCAATCCCTGTTCGATTCCACAGAAACAAAACTACAAGTCCAAGAAACTACATTTTTGGCCTTTGCTGTTCTTTTAATTACTGAAAAATAGCAGCCAAACTCCTGCACACTGTCATAAATTGCATAAATACATTGGCAATGTTTTGGTACTGAAAAGTTGAAGATTTCAGTTAAAATGTGGCTTAAGATGTTTAAAAGCTTCTGGATATTATCAGTCATTAAAATGATGTAGATCGTTTGGTAAAATAAATCATATTGCTTGAAGAATGTTTTTAAAAAGAGCGTCCAGCTTTTTTTTTTCCATCTCAAAGATTTAGCTTCAGTGCAGTGTGACAGCTTTTATAGACTTCTTGCATCAGAAGCATCTCGTGATTCCTTTTCTCACAGTGTTGAGTCAGCCAACATGTCACCTGATGCAGCTCTACTCTCTTTTATAACATTGATTTGTAAGTGACACTTCTGTTTTCTCATGGTCTGTCTGTGATGTTTGTGATGTTACCACAAGAATCCCCCCCCCCCCTCCCCGAGTCAGTTTCTTCATCCACTTAACCTGATACATTTACATTTTATTACAGAACTGGAGAAAAACATGTACATGAGCAGCATCTTTGGGGAATCTTGTATTTGACATTGTGTGAGTCAATGTACTTTCATTGAAGTTCATTTTGTCTTGTTTTTTTCTTGATCTTTTCAGGTGTGACGTTCGAGATTGATCTGCCCAAGAAACTGGTTTGGATCGAGTCTGAGAAAGATGTGGAATTTCTTCAAAAGACACTGGAGAAATGTGGGAAGGAGGTCAAGTACAACGGCACTAAATGAAGGAATCTGCTTCTCGTAGAAGGGGTGACAATGCTGATAAAACGTTAGTCATGTTAATGATTATTATCTCCGTAACCTCAGCTGTAAACCTGTACCTGTTTTTCTGAACAGAAAAGAGGGGGGATTAGAGGTTGTGATGGGAGCAGCTTTTTTTGTGTTTAGTGACATCTAGCTGTGAGTTTGCAGATTGCAACCGATTCAATAACCGCTCCCGTCATCCACCCTTCCAAGTGTGTAGGATTCTGCTCATCTGTGAACATGTGTGGGTCAGCAATGAGTCATTATTTTAACCCAGTTATGATGTCTTTCCTAGACTTAACTTGAGGTCAGATGAAGCTGGATAAGTAAATCCAGAGGTTAGGCATGTTCACATAGAAGAGGAGGTGATGGAAGTCTATGACCAGTTATACACATGAAGGCATCAGCAGATCATCGTAGTTAAGAAAGCCAGAGCAAAGGATGATGAAGAAGTTAAACACATCATTCAGACTAAAATCAACACAGCTGCAGCGACAGATGTAGGAAGGATTTGCGGGAATAATATCACCGACTGTGTTAATACGTAAATGTAGGCTTCTATATCATCACTTTACACTGTTAGTGCACGATAGATCTAAATATAATTTATCCTGTTCTGTCCCTTTAAATGAATTATTTTCTCATCTGACAGTTTAGGATGAGTACACCTTCAAAAAGTAAACTTCAGTGCTACTGCTTTGTTTAGTCTCTGTTGTAGGATGAAAACGGGAAGTCATAGAAGAAAACGCACAGATCATCCAGTCAATTTCCAAAATACTTTATCAACATGACATCGAAACAGGCACCAAAACGAACAGCAAATCATCATCATCATCCTCCGAAAGACAAAGCAACATGTTTGCACGTTTTTTTGACTCTGTTTTCCCCGCGTGATCTTGTTGCTCTCCTGTGATGTGTGTACAGCTGATCATGGCTGCACTCACACTCCAGAAACGGAGCCGGTGGGGCAGGGTGCACGCCATCCGTCAGAGGAAAAAAAACTGTTGATGGAACATGGCACGCATGGACTATGTAGAAAATGGCAGTAAGGTCTATGAGTTGGCGCTATACAAATACAGATTGATGGACTGATTGATCTCTCTTCATCTGTAAATCTAAATCCACATGGAGCACATAAGTCCTACAACAACTTGTCTTCTCTCTGTGTCTCCAGGAAATCATTGCTGCTCATATAAAGTGAAGAATCATGCTGGAAGTTCTGTACCCCTCATGAGGAGATGGACGGGCCTGTTCCCTCCCCATGCCTGAACGCACAAAATTAAAAATGGATGCAGATTGGGTTTTTTTTTAAAGTATAATTTTGCAGAGACAGAACTGGCAAACATGTATGGAGAAAGACAACAAAATCCTATCGGTCATGTCGTGAGCTCTTGTTTGTGTGAAAAGTGAAATGAAGAGATGAGAAAGTGATGATGCTGTCTTCTAACACGGTGGTATGGTCTTAATCAATCTACAAGAATTTCCAACACGCCTCTTTTCAGTTTACTACACATACAAGGAGTTTGATCGGGTGAAGGATGTTTTTGAAAGAAAGGCCATTCTAAATCTTATTTCTTATTTCCAGCACTTGTTTTGTTTTACTTTCAGACATCTGTATTTGTTAAGTGTTTGAAGCATTACAATAAGACTCTAATAAATTCCTCAGAATCATTTAAAGTACATTCCCTGATTGTAAAACCTACTTCAGATAACTTAGCTGAACTTGTCTTACAGCTTGCTTTTAGCTTCAACACAGTTTACACAACGATAATCCACGAGCACTACAGGTCACATTCGTCATGTTTAATCGAGATTTACTGACACATTTCTCTTCACAACATGATTCTCTTTTGTTACTTCCTCAAACAGATAATCCCTTCTCCTGTACTTTTCTAATTGTCTGTGTGAATATTTGTCTGCACAGAGGAAATAAAATCAGTTCTGCCTCAGTATGTTGCAGCTCATTGTTTCATTGCTTCACTATAAGGACTCATATTTCAATTGTATCTTGAGGTCATCTGTAAGAAAAATCTCTCTACATCACTTTGTACATGTTTGTTGCTTCCTGCAGGCAAAATAATCTATTTTGGCATTTATATGCCCAAAATTGAACACCAAAAAAATCATTTTTCTGGTTTCCACAATCCTGTTAGTACATGACGGTGCATGTAATCCAGGCTGAAGAAAAAAGATCATTCACATTAGCACAACAATAAACAATCATCACATCAACATTGTTGCATAGTCATCTTGTCACCACATGTCAAACGTCCAGCATATTTTCTGGCTCCATACAAAAGTGGAGGCATGAGAATGCATAATTACTCAGTAATTAGACCACCAGGAGGCGCTGTGAGGTCAAGTAGTCTCTTCTTGAGAGTTGTTCAGTGTTTAAAAAACTCCTTCCTGCCTTACATTTTCAGATGTTTCATGTTTTTCTTGGAAGAGCTGAAAAAAAATGTATGTAAAGATTTGCTCAGCATACCTTCTCACACAATTGTTTGGAATATAACGTGTTTAATAGTGTCGTTTCTCTGTTGTGTTTAGCTCTTTATATAACTGAACATCCACTGAGATATGACTCAGAAACACAAGTACCACTGCTGGTGTTTTTTTTTCCTCCCAAAAAGAGAAGATGTTTTGTGTAATCAAAAGGTAAGAAAACTCATCTACAAGAGTTTAATGTGTCAAATTTAAGACTAAAATCCTCCTGGCTGACATGTCATCATCTGTCAGGAATCATTTATGATGTTTATGATATGATGTTCTAAGTGGGCGGCCCAAGTTTGAGTCCTTCTTTCCTGCATGTCATTCCCCACTCTCTCATCCTGATACTCTGTCCACTGTTTATCAAATACGGGCAAAAAAGATATCTTAAAAATAGCATTGTCATTATATGGAAGCACATAGCATTCACTGGTGAAAATAAAGAAATCTGCTGTTTTTCTGACGTTATGAAATAGTCATCATGGAATAACGAGAATAGTTTTTAGGAAAAATGACAAATCTGATCTGTTTTTCTAAATTAAATACTTCACTATCTTTTTCATTTGGAAAAACAAGGATGTTTTTTCCTTTCTATCTTACAAAAACCCAAGCAGCGGAACTATCCTTTTGTTTAAACAGTTCTGAGTTTGAAGATAACAAGAGAACAAAAAATGAACAGCTTATAATCTTCATCATTAAATAATGAGCTCATGGATTTTGTAGTCACTGCAGAGGGTAAAGACTCCCTCTCTGGCCTCCTCGGACTGAAACAGCCACTGAGGCAAACAGAGACTCATTGTGTTCAGCACAAACTGCACAGATAACAGGGCTGTCAGCACAGTCACCAAATTCATCATATTACCCTCCCACACACACAAACACACACACAAACACACACTGCCTCTCTTCAGTTCATCTTACTGTTTAACTGTACAAATACACAGGATGTGTCTTTTATTTCGTGCAAAAAAACAAAGAACATAAAAGTGGACGATATTGGGTGATAGTACTCCTACTGTCAGGGGACTTACATTAGATCAAATAAACAGTAAAAAAAATAAAAATAAACAGAGCAATAAATACAAGAAGTGTTCAACTGGAGGAGAAAAGAAAATGTATTTTTCGTTGTAAAGAATTGAAGACAGTGGCAGTATAAACAACTTAAGTCCTGTGAGTGATAACCACCTCAAGCAGGCAAACTTTACTTTGCAGTCGAGGACGTTTTCTGTCATTTGTACGCTACATTTAATGGTAACCAAAGTAATGGTACTTACAAATACTGTTCTTTAAAGTTTGTAGCAACTTATTTGTGGAAGGCCCTTTGCAACAACAAACTTATTTGATTTTACAGAACTTGTCTGACCTGCACAGAGCTCTGACCTCGACCCAATCCAACATCTTTGGGATGAACAGAAAAAATCCAGTCTGTATCTACATCAGTGTCCGATCACATGTGACTTAAAGGAAGAAAATCCCTGCAGCTACGTTACAACATCTGCATGGAGAAAAGTCTTAAAGCCAAGTTACAAGTTACTTTCCAGATTTAGTCAAGCTCAAAGCTCCGGGCTTTGCCAAACAGATTCGTCTAACACCTGAAGCGGCGTCCTGCTCTCTCTCGCGTCAGTCTCTCTGTGCTTGCCCACTGAAGGCCAACAGTTTGGCGAGAGAGGCGCTGCCCACCTTCCGCTGGTCACTCATTGTCTTAAATTTAAGTTTCCAATCAAACAAACCTACTCTCCATGGTTTATTTTCCAAACAGTTTATCTTCGTTGTCTTTCTGTGGCTGATTATGACATAACGATGGAGAAAAGTGGCGCTGCTAGCTCTGTTAGCATGATGCTTTGAGCAGTGAGTCGGATTGTCGCGATGCACAATGAATGGGGGCAAATTTAAGTGACGTATGTCGATCGAAACTTGAGCAGCCATGTCCACACAGGCCTTAGAAATGATCTAAGTCTTCAAATCTTAATATTTGAAGTCAGGTTTCCAGAGCGTTCAAATTTTAAATTCATTTGAGCAGCAGCTAAATAGCCATGGTTTTGGACTTGCATGTCAAGATGTTTTGATGTCCGCATATTTTGACCATACAAAGGAGATTATGATTGCAGCCATTCTTACATATTCCACACTCAGTTTGTCAGATTTGGCTCAACGTTCCTCAGCTGTATTAGGCTTGGCTGCACTAATGCTAGCATATTAACACGCTGAAATAGCTCTAACACACACATTCACACACTCTGTCCTCAGCTGACCAGTGACAGGTAATTTGTGTGTGTGTGTGGGTGTGTGTTTGTGTCCCATGGGTGGGGGGTGGGTGAGTTAGGGGTACAGTCAGGGTTGTCAGATCCTGTCCAGTGTGCCAAAACAAACACACCCATCACCAGGGGGTTACCGGCAGTCGGGGGGGGGGGGGGGGGGGGCGGTTTGACTGACGAGAGCAAACAGTCAGCTGACCCTGCGGCTTCACATCTCTCTGGGAGTCTCGCTGTATATTCCCTCTATGTTTGGTGAAAATGTATCATCCCGTTCCGGGTGGAAATTCATGGAGGCGTTCGCCAATAATTCACATAAAAGAAACATTATCATGTTAATGACTAGACAGGTTTGAGGTGAACTTTTTTGTGTACCTTTGCATGAATGAAAAATGACGTTAAAATGAGAATATTTGCCTTCATATCAATGCTTTGTGTAGTTTGACAGAATCACAATATCAACAAAAAGGTGGATAAGAACATACTGGAACAGAAAACCTAACGCAGCCGTTTCATTACATGCACAGAGATCCCACCGGTCGCATGCATAGCATACAGTCTTTGGTCATGCACTGATTGCAGGGAATAAAAATAAACACTCCCCTCCATTCACTGGCTGTACATTGTCTTTATCCTGCTTCAATCTCAGATCAGCTCACTGGGACTTCACAGAGAAAATTCTTCTAGGTTGTCAGGACAAATGTTAGGTAAAGTCTTGGCTTTTTGTTTTCAAGCATGCAGCTCACCCTGAAAACGTTTTTTCAGGCGTTTTGAACAAATGTGAAAGCACTATTTGTCTCAGTTTCTAGATAACTGCACATACAAATGAATCTAACACAAATGGTTTACCATGACATTTTGCCTCCTTTTTTCCATCAAAATGTTAGCATCATGTTAGCATGTTCATGACTCTTAGTAAAGGTCTTCATGATTTAGCAGTTTCTTCATGCCGATGCTGCATGATTCTGCAATTCCCAGCGGGTCAACTATAACAGAAACTCATCTGAATTCATTACACTCCATGACCTGATGCGATTGATAAGTTTAAGATCTCAAAACAGGTGGAATTTAACAAACATTTGCATGTAGGAGAGGAGATTAGATGTCCATCCAGACCGGCTCACACAACGACAAACCAGGCTTCATACCCCTAAATGAGTGATTGTACCACAGTTGTGCAGAGACTTGAGGGCGCTGCTGCTTCTCTTGGCAGCGGCACCTGGCGAGGACAACGTTGAGACGTGTTCAAGAAGAACAACAACACAAAGCCATGTGGAATTTATTGTCGCCCAGTTCAGCTGCCTTGTTTCTGCACGTACAAGTGCGATTTCAGTTTTGATTTGAATTCCAAAAATTGAAAGAGTCCCTGGATCTGGATCAGATAGTTTAGCCCAGTGCAATAATAAGTGCAATAACAAGCACAGATAAGGCTGGAATGTGATATGGATCAGAAGTTCTGCACGTTCTTGTCTTCATTCTACATGCACCTGCAAAGATGCATGTCATGTACACAAAGGTAAACACACCCAACCACGGCCCAGGAAGGAGCCTGAAACAGATAAAATAATAGATTAAAGTTGACATGAAAAGACACACATGCACAGGCATGCAAAATAAATAAAAATGTACTGTATGTGGTTCAAAGAATGGAAGTTGAATTTGCAGACTCTTTCCCGGTAACCAAGAGTTCACTGGAGTCAGTCTGTGCCAGCCAAAGATACAGAGCAGGAAATATTATTACAGTAATAAGTAGAACCTGTAATGTCAAGTTTGGCCATGGGGCTCATATTGCAGGGTCATTACGGATGAGTACTTTGTCTGCCTAATGGTGTGAATGGGATCTCCTTTTCTTGGAAGTCTAAAGATCATTTCTGTTCTGTGCAAACTGGACTTTAACAGTGTGACGTTTAACATTCTGTTGGCATTTAGCTGCAGTCCTACAGATAGCACGAGTTTCCCATAAAGCCTACGTGCTGCTTCTGAGGAGAATTAAAGCTTGCCAGCAATTATCTTTATGAACATGCAAAAAATCATGTATAAACCTGCTAAAGAAGGCGGGGGAAGGAGCAGATTTCCTATCTGCTGAGGTTGTAGAAAGGAGTGAAAAAAGAATTGAAAGTTGTCAAAGATCCAAACAGAAGCCAGAAGTGTCATAATTCTATACAGATGACATGAACACAGTTTGTTGCAACCTCTTAAAGCAGAACTTGTAA